CCCCCCACAGCCCTGCTCTCTCCTCTGTCTGTCATGGGGAGCTCCGTGAATGCGGCTGTAGGAGGAAGCAGCATACTGATCCCGCAGAGGGAGGGGGGCACGCAGACCGGCTCTCTTCCTCTGCAGGTTGGAAATAAATCTATTTCTACATTTTCAAACAGATAAGAAGGCTTTCACGACCCCCCAGTTCCCCCTCCATCAGTTCGATCTGCCCGGACTGTGTCAGGAGGAGGAGGAGGAAGAGGAGGTGTGAGGAGGAGGAGGATGGGAGCAGCGCGCGCACAGTTCTCTCCTCACTTGCAGCAGAGGACTGAAGGCTGAATACCTGCATTATCCCGCTCTGCTCTGCTGAAGGACATCCAGTCACTTTCTGCTTCTTCTGCAGGAGAACAGGAGCTGGAGACAAGGACCCGAGAACGTTGGCCGGTGTTTTAGTGCTTTGAAGCTTTAACCCTAAGCTCAACTTGTCTGGAAACAACCCAGGATTTGATTCATCCTCTGGATAAAGAGGGGGGGTGCAGCTGAAGCACCTTCTCCTCCTTCGCTCTCCTCATCTTTATCCAAGAAAAACAAGAAAAAGAACCAAGAATTATGGACTTTTCTCTCCAACTCACATTCATTTTCCTGCTTTGAAACTGCAGGACGCAGTGTCAAGATCTCTCACCCCCCCTCAGTCTGCCTCACCCTGCCTTCCTGCCCCCCCTGACAGCAGATAAAGGCTCTCCCATGGAGGTGGTACAGCCACTCTGGGGGCCTAACGAGCAGAGGGGAGATATTTCCAAGCAAAAGGAGCCGGTCAGCAAGAGACGCATCGGATGAAATCGGACCTTCCTTACACCCCTCGTCCCCCTCCTCTGTTTCTCCCCCTCACACCCCTCTTTCTTTTGCTCCTCTGGTTTTGAGCTTCGGTCAACCTACATGGAGCCATAGGAGAGGGGGGTGCTGGAGGAACCTTGTTGCACCCTGAAATATGTCTGCGTCCAGCGGGGAGGACGGTTTGCGCACATCTCCCCAACGCTGCCCGGCGTCTCCGGAGGGAGCTGCATTTGTTGCCACCCCACTTTTTGGTGAGTCTGATTTTATTCTTTCACAAAAATCTAAAACCTCCAGAGTGTTGGGTTGGTCAGTGCACTCCTCCGGGTTAGTTTCTGTGAGATGTGGCTGTGAAGCCACCGGAACATGTGAGCAGCGGTGAACAGTTCCTCCCCTCCACACCGACTCATTCTGGCTTCAGACGATGATTTGAACCTGAAAAGCCTTTTTGTCTCTGATGGCGTTAAACGGGCTGAAGAGGAAGGAGCCTACAGTCACACCTCTGACATTTTCAATGCGACACATCAGGCTTCTGCTCAGATGCACAGATGTGCAGCGGTTGATGGGTTTGAGTCATTTAGGTACTTTAAAGTAATCTGAATGAAAGTTGTGTGGTGAAAAGAGAAAATGGCTGCAGAAATGATCCAGCAGCAGTGACTCTAATGGGAAAGTGCAGAAAATCGTGATCTCTTTACAACAATAGGTGTTTTTTGTTTGTTTAAATGCTGCAAATGTATCCTTTTATGTATAGAAATAAGTTAAAACTATCAGAAATGTGTCATGATAAATATTAAATGTGCATTTTAATAGTTTCTTTGTATGTGAATGGACGTGTCTGGTCTTGTTCTGCAGTTATGTGATTGTGCACGCACTTGTCTTTTCTCTCTCCAAAGGTTACTAAATGGTTTTCTGGGGATGGATTTCTAGCCGACGAGATGCTGCTCCTACACCTGCTGGCAGCTTTTCTTTCTTCCATCTCGAGCTCCCTCTCCTCCTCCCTCTCCATGTCGAATGGACCCCCACTGGCAGATCCGACCACCTCGGACTTCATGGCCGAGACCTGCAGTGCCTGTTTCTGCATGTCCATGGAGAACGTGCTGTACGTCAACTGCGAGAAGATCACCGTCTACCGGCCCACGCAGCTCATCCCTCCAGCTTCATCCCTGTATCACCTGAACTTCCAGAACAACTTTTTAATCATCCTTTACCCCAACTCATTCCTCAACTTCACCCACGCCGTGTCTCTGCAGCTGGGGAACAATAAATTGCAGAACATTGAAGGTGGAGCTTTCGCTGGGATGAGTGCATTGAAACAACTTCACCTGAACAATAACGAGTTAAAGGTGCTGCGGGCTGACACTTTCCACGGCATCGAAAACTTGGAATACCTTCAGGCTGACTACAACTTAATAAAATACATAGAAAAGGGAGCATTTAATAAACTGCACAAGCTTAAAGTGCTCATTCTGAACGACAATCTGATACAGGCACTCCCTGACAACATTTTTCGCTTTGCCTCGCTCACACACTTGGATATAAGAGGGAACAGGATCCAGAACCTTCCTTATTTAGGGGTTCTGGAACACATTGGGCGCATTGTAGAGCTGCAGCTGGATGACAACCCCTGGAATTGTACCTGTGATTTAGCACCTCTGAAAGCATGGCTTGAAAACATGCCCTATAACATTTTTATTGGCGAAGCCATTTGTGAGACGCCAAGTGACTTATATGGGAGGCTCCTTAAAGAGACCAACAGACAAGAGCTTTGTCCCATGGGAACAGGAAGTGAATTTGACGTTCGAATGCCACCTGCAACATCTGACAATAGACAGGTGCCATCGAAAATATCCCCAACCACCGTGGCTCCCGTTGCCACTAAATCACCAAAAAGCACTGACTCATCTAAGGTCTACGGGAATGGGATTGTGGCTGGTTTGCCTCCTTTTGGAAGAAACAGCCAGATTGTTTCCTTTCAGACACGGACTCCTCCAATGTTGTGTCCACAGCCATGCAGCTGTAAAGCCCACCCCTCTGACTTTGGCATTAGTGTAAGCTGTCAGGAAAGAAATATAAGGGATCTAGCTGATCTCATTCCCAAACCCCCAAATGCCAAGAAACTTCACCTAAGTGGAAATTACATACGTGACATCACCCCCAATGATTTCCAAGGGTTTGATGGCTTAGATTTGCTTCATCTTGGCAGCAATCAAATTGCCACGTTACAGAAAGGTGTGTTTGCCAACCTCACTAATCTGAGGAGACTCTATTTGAATGGAAACCAGCTGGAACAGTTACACCCAGAGATGTTCTTAGGCCTCACGAACCTTCAGTACCTTTATTTGGAATACAATGCCATAAAAGAAATTTTAGCTGGCACATTTGATTCCATGCCAAATTTACAGCTCCTGTATCTCAACAACAATGTTCTTCGGAGTCTCCCAGCCTATATCTTTGCAGGTGTCCCTTTAGCCAGACTCAATCTGAAAAATAACCACTTCATGACTCTGCCAGTGAGTGGCGTTTTGGACCAGCTGCGCTCGCTGAGCCAGATAGACTTAGAGGGAAACCCATGGGAGTGCTCCTGTGATGTGGTTGCACTCAAACTCTGGTTACAGAAGCTAGGTGATGGAGTGGCTGCTAAAGATGTGAAATGTGCCTCCCCTGTGCAGTTTTCCAACATCGAACTACGCCTAATAAAAAATGAAATCCTCTGTCCTAAGCTTGTGAGGCCACCATTTGTTGTCACTAGTGCCACCCCTTTTTTGACATCACTTTCTCCAGCAGGAGTCGGCAAGGCACCTCCAGGAGGGCCTGTGCCACTCTCAATTATGATCCTCAGCATCCTTGTTGTGCTTATCCTTACTGTGTTTGTGGCCTTCTGCCTTCTAGTCTTTGTCCTGAGGCGAAATAAAAAGCCAGTGGGCAGGCAGGAGGGGCTGGGGGGTCAGGAGCACACCTCCATGTCACTACAGCTTCGCCGACACAGCCACAAATCTGGCAAAAAAGGCTCTATCCCAGGGGATGACTTAGGAGGGGAAACATTTATCCCACAAACCATTGAACACATTGGCAAGAGCCACACCTGTGGGATTGGACGCTCGTCAGACATGGATGCTGGCTTCAAGTTCGCCGACTCTCAGAGACAAAAGATCATCTTTCGTTCTTGTGTTGACAAGGATAAAGACGCTCTTTCCACCCTGGAGCGCAACAAGCGACTCAGCACTATCGACGAACTTGAGGAGTTCCTTCCGAACCGAGAGCCCAGCATGTTCATCCATAACTTCTTGGACAGCAAAAGGGATTTCAACAGTATAGGGATGGGCGGGTATGAAATCCGCTACCCAGAAAAGACAATGGATAAAAAGATGAAGAAATCATCACTTATAGGCGGTAACCACAGTAAAATTGTGGTGGAGCAGAGGAAAAGTGAGTATTACGAATTGAAAGCCAAGCTCCAGGGGACGCCTGATTATCTGCAGGTGCTCGAGGAGCAGACTGCTTTGAGTAAAATGTAGGGATTGTTGTGTTTGATGTTTTGCATTGATTACACACTTACACATGGAAGTCAGACACGACCAGACAGACAGTCAAACACATCTGTCTCTTTCTTCTTTTATGTTCTTGGCTACACAAACACACCATTCAGTCTCTCAGATCTCTGGTCCTTCGTTTTCAGCTCTACACTCCCTTACTTACTCACACACTTCACACACAGAGCAAAAAAGTGCCTTCAGGAAATCCTTAATGACCAATGCAGAGATAGACAAAATGGCTTCTCACTACAAAGCTATTATTAGAACCCGTGTGGATGTATTTCAGAGTCAGAGATCCATACCTGTACGAACCCACAAACACACCGCAGCACCCTGAAAAAAACAGCCGGACTCGTATTTTTGCTGCTAAAGAAATGGATACTTATATTGTTCTTCTTGTTCTTTTTCTCCTTGTTTCGTTGTTCCAACCAAATCGAAGGGTCTTGAAAACAGTGCTTGAAAATATATACCTCGCTGCCATCAGCCCCTGTTTTAACATGAGAAAAGAAAGGAAAAGAGAGAGCGTTAGTAGTTGTTCCGTTTGATCCGGAGGAAAATTAAGAACGGATTGTTTTGGAATGGAATGGAGCAGAATTGGCGACTCAGTGGATGCTACTTTGTTTTGTCTTTTTCATTCTGCTCCTCCACTGAAGACTTTCTGTCATCTTGTCTGGATTACCGTCCGGTAACTGTACACCCGCACCTTGATGACAGGAAGAAAGAGCTCCTGTTTTGCATTATTCTCAATTGGAGGCACTACAAAACCCATTTAATTTTATTTTTATCTTTGGGGGGAGGATGATTTAATGACTTGCTTTCTTTGTGTAAAGAGCCATGTTAATTATAGTGTCTTCTGAATGGAGTTGTGTTTCTCTTCGAAGTTGCTACTTGCAGTAAACATGTTTTTGGGTGAAACATAAAGGCACATAAACTGTCCGAGATGTTATTTCTTGAGAAAAATGGGGAGTTAAAAAAAAGGATTTTAAAAAAATGTTACAAAGCTGCTTGCCATGTAAGCGTATCCTGGAATTTATTTTGTAAGTCTTACATTGTTTGTATCTGTGGGACTGGTTTGTACATTACAAGGAAAGACTAACATCTCCATGTGAACACTGATACTGTGCGACGAAGCGTCTTCAAGAGACTGTCAATCAATCAAACTGCTAACGGGATTCAGTTGGTGCCCAACACCTCCCCATCCCCCCCGGTCAGAGTTTAAAAAATACAACATAGTTAATTTATTTTTCTATGCAGGATTATTTAAAGAAAAATATTGGTATTATTTAAAAAGAGCGATGCATAGAGCGGAGAGGAGTTGATGGTTTTAGAGCTTATTCAGGCCACAATAAGAGACTGGCTTTCAGTTTTTTTTTGTTTTTCCTTTCTCCATTTTACACAGAAGCCTGACTTTACTCATGGAAGGTTGTAAAATGTGATCTGTAATGTTTTTTTTAAGCCAGCGGAGGCCTGACGGAGTCTGTGACGTCCTTTTTTCTTCTATTTCCCCTCACAATATCTTGTAAAAGATTTTCCTATCAACATTATGCAACCAAAATAAATGTGCATTAAACTCGATCTGCTTCTGGGGTTGTTGGGTCCAGAGGGAAAGGAGGCGGTGTAAGACCACGGCAAAGGCAACAAATCCAAGCTCTAAATATTAGTTCTTGAAATAATCATTTTGAACAAAGACCGTGTGCAATATTAGTAAAAAAATACCTGATGGCTTCAAACCATTTTGTTGATTTTAATTAGTTTTTAGATTTATCTTGTCAAGTTGTTCCTCAAAACTCTTAAACATTTTAATTCTCTCTGGTCCTTATTTTTTAAGTACTGTTAAGTTAAATCTGAGTGTTTATGACATTACAAATGAATAGAATGTATCATGGAAAGTATAATAAATACAGTTTTCTATTGGTCATAAATCTCCTGTATATCGGTTAATTTTTCTTGTATAATCATGTTGAAATCAAGGTATTAAAATCAGCACCTATTTCCATCTTGTCCCCCTTTTTCTTTAAGAAAACATCATTTAATTTTTTTTCCTGTGGTGATGTATTTTGAAATTTATAATCTTTATCATTGAGTAGCTTTTCAAGTCAATTCATTACAAAATGGCCACCGCAGCTAACCTGCATTTGCCACATATAATCTTATGGGCCAAAACCAGATTTACAAACCAGGATTATATCAAATTACTGCAATTTAAACAGAGTAAATCTGCCTTTTACTCTTTTTTTTCACCCCCATCGTGGAACAAGGAGGAATTGGAAAGACCCACTGTTCATCTGTTCATCCATTTGTCCGTTCGTTCATGCATCTGTCTGTCCATACATCCATTCATCCTTATGTATATCCATTTATCTGTCTGTTCATCCATTTGTCCATCCATACATCTGTACGTTCATCCACCTGTTCATCCATTCATTCATCCATCAGTTCATCCAGTCATCTGTCCATTCATGTTATGAGCATGATAACTTGAAAGATAACTGAAGTACTGACTTCCATTTAGGTGTGGTGCAGCCTGCAGGTGTTAGAAAGTTCATTGTAGAAAATTGTGTTGACATTTCAAAATCCAAGATGGCCACCACCACCATATATGTATGTAAACCAGTTATCCTTATCATTCGAAGAAACTTTGCTTTAAAAGTTTTTATTTTGTTTAAAAGTATAGTTTTCTATTTAAAAAAAATATGTAATTGTTCCGGGCAGCACGGTAGTGCAACTGGTAGAGCTGCTGCCTCTCATTGAGCAGGTCCCTGGTTCAAACCCCGGTCCAGGTGCCTTCTGGGTGGAGTTTGCATGTTCTCTCCGTGCATGCGTGGGTTTTCTCCGGGTACTCCGGTTTCCTCCCACAGACCAAAAACATGCATGTTAGGCTGATTGGTAACACTAAATTGTCCCTAGGTGTGAGTGAGAGAGTGAATGGTTGTTTGTCTCGTTTGTCTCTATGTGTCCCTGTGATGGACTTGCGACCCGTCCAGGGTGTACCCCGCCCCTCGCACAGTGATTGCTGGACATGGGCACCAGCGACCCCCGTGACCCAAAATGGAATAAACAGGTAAAGATAATGGATGGATGGATGGATGGATGTAATTGTTCCTTCCGCTCACCACGATCTGTCACTCAGCTCGGCCTTGAACAACCAAAAAATTAATGAATAAAAAAAACACCTCTGGTCTTCTGCACAGTGTAACTCCTATACACTTGAACCTCTTGCGCCAAAAACATTTGGGTTTACTTTCATGTTCTGTTCAGTTCTATTGAACAGTACTATTTTATTGCTGTGTGTACCTTATCTGTTGTTTGTCTAAAACAGGTCTCTCTTGTAAAGGAGTCCTCGTGACTCAGTGAGACTAACCTGGATAAATAAAGGTTGATTTAATTCTGTCCAGAAAAAAAAACACTCGTCTCCAGAACTACAAACATCCACTGTTCAGATCCCTCAGGGACGGGGCACATCGGTGTACTTCTTGTTGATAATTTTTAAAACATGTTTTTAACTCTTCTGTGGCATTAATTAGTAGGTGCTGCAGCACCCTCTACGCCCCAGCTTCCCACAGCCTCACAAACACCTTCAACATTTTCCTTCTCTTCTGCCTCGTTGGGGCTTTTCTGCTGCACACCAACGATTCCTGCGCAGGCCGAACAGAACCAGCTGTTTTTAGACACTTATCAAACATTCATGCCTTTTTAGGGATAAGAATCTTTTTCTTCTTCTTCTGTTTCTGTAGTAATCCAACCTTTTGGGCTTTTGAAAAGCCAGGCAGCAGAAAGTATGAGTCACCCGTACGCCGGAGAATCATCTTCATTAATAATTAACCCCCATGGCAGTTATGGACTAAAAAGGGGATGTTGGCCGAAGGAATCTGATACGTCCACTGTTTCCAAAAAACTCTCGTCCTCGTCTCTTGTTTTTTTGTCAGAGGGAAGAAAACTGACAGAAAGCTGAAATTCAGTCCAACGTGTTACTGCAGTGATGGGGGAGGGGGGTCCTGTGGGGCAACAAACTCCTTCTTCTCTGTATTGTAACTAATTAGACACGAGTACAGCAGCCGTGTGTGTGGGGGGGGGTGTTTCCTCTGTTCTCATCGTCCCACCTGCTGCAGAGATGGTTACATAACTCCTGTTGGTCAAATCACACCGAATATCTGCCTTCATGTTCTCATGTTGTTGTTGGGGGGGGGGGGGG